ACTGATCTATTTTCTCAATTTGTTTGAATGAAGGACACCTCTAGGAAAATGGGTACTCAAAGGTGCACAGCCCAGCATGATGAAATTTCCATAGCAGTATACTCAGTGTTAGGATGCAGGATCAGGGGAGAGGATTCCCTCCCCTCCTTCCTCCTCTCTACTTTCTTTTTTTCTATCTTTCTATCCTTCTCAGTGTAAATATCTTATGCCCTTTGTTTCCTCCTCAAGATTAGGGCATAGAGACACTTTTGTAAAGACAGATTATTTTTCTCTGCGAATATTCTGTGGGGAGGGGGTCCCTCTGTGGGTAGCTAATGCTGGGGTCTCAGCTGGAGGCTTTTCTCTCTGACTGACTAAAGCTGTTTGCTTACACTGAAGCAGAGTGGTGCAAATTGATAGTTTAAATCCAAAGGGGCTGGCCAGGAGTCTCACAGCTAACTCTGAGATGAATGAGCTACTCAGCCCAGCTCCTTTCACTAGTGACCTGTCATCTGCAGTGGGGCTTTCCTCCTGCCAGGCAGCTCCAGTTCACCCTGCAACCTGCATCCATCCATTTCCTCACATCTCCAGGGATGGTGGCCATTTAAATCCTCTTTGTGAAGGTTCAGAAAAGGCTTGGTGTCTCAGAACTTGCTGTACCCAAGGCTTTGAGGTTGAGAGATTGTGTGCTGTTTACCCCCAGGACAGCCTTTTGGAGAAGGGCAGGTTTGGCCTTTGCTATCCCTATTTCCTTCACAGCAGGTGAGTAGCTGTGGTGGTCACAGAGGGCAAGCTGGATATAGCCTGAGGATTGCCCTTACCAAAGTGGGACTGAGGGTGATGGCTGTGTGCATCCTTTGGCTGCAGGTGAATTAGGCTGTCAGGGGCTGTGTCAGAGAAACAGCTGAGCTTGTTTTCAGTGCTGACCTTGAAGGCTGCATGCAGGCAATGCAGACACGTGTATGCACAGGGAAAGCAGCAGGAAAAGGCTCAAAGGAATGGCAGGGCTGACAGGAGCCATTTGCCCTGCCTTTGTTTACTGGTCCAAATGTGCATTACTGTCCCATACTAACTGGCAGTAGCTGCTCAGAGGTAATGGTCAGGCACAGCATCTCCAGCAGAAAGGGGGAAGGCTAATCTGCCCTGGAAGAAGGACCACCTGCAATGGCAGCTGGAGACAGCCTGTTGCGGCCTTAGTCATGTGTGTTTGCTAGAAAATTTCTGCTCTTGTATTACACCTTCCTGGCTCACACAGTCGAGATTTTCGTGACTTCTAGAGGACTTTAAGTATGATTTTATAGTTGGAAAGCAGGGTGGTTTGGATTGTTCTGATGGCATTTGGCTTGTCCTTCACCCAAACAGGTAGGAAAGCTGCTTCTTTCCTGCCTTAGTCCTCTGAGAAGTATTTCTGGGATTTTCTCCTCTCCTCCACTTCCTTCTGTGACGGTGAATGGAGGAAACAGCACTATTTATTACCTCTTCACAATTGTTTCCTAATAATCTTTCTTCACAGTGTCAAGGAAGGAGACAAATTCAAGACACAAAACTTTCAGGAAACTGTCATTCACTGGGCCGTGGCTTTCTCTGGGGTCCCTTTGCTTGCAGTGTTTCAGGACCTCGGCATGTTTGTTGATGACACCAAGCTGACAGCTGGAATGCTTGAGGTAAGGGATGCCATCCACAGCCACCTGCCAGGGTCTCCAGGCCTAAGGAGCGGGCAAATGTGAACCTCACAAAGTTCACACAAGGCCAAGGGTGAGGTCCTGCATTTGAGTTGGGACAATCAGCAGGATCAGTACAGACTGGGTGCTGAAGGGATCGAGAGCAGCCCTGTGGAGAAGGACAGGGGGAATAAAAAATGGATTTGAACTGGCAGTGTATTCTTCCAGCCCAGAAAGCAAATCATATCCTGGGCTGCATCAAAAGCAGCATGGCCAGCAGGGTGAAGGGGGGCATTCTGTCCCTTGGCTCTGCTCTGGTGAGACCCCATCCACACTGCTGCATCCTCTTAGGGGTCACCAACACAGAAAGGACATGGACCTTTTGGGATGAGTCCACAGGAGGGCCAGGACAATGATCAGAGGGCTGGCTATCAAGACAGACTGAGAGAGCTGGGGTTGTTCAGCCTGAAGAAAAGAAGGCTCTGGGAAGACCCTTTTGTCTTTCAATATATAAAAGAGAGCTGAAAAATGTGGAGAGAGATTATGTTGTGACAGGACAAGGGGGAACCATTTTGGTAAAAAAGCTTTATTCTTTATATCCTTTTGATATAAGGAATAAAGCTGAGGCTGTAAAAGTTAGAAACCAGTGGAGATGACGAGTGGAGGGAAGCAACTGGGTGAGGAGCTGAAAGAAGGTGACTGTGACTAATCTGTATTCAGCACCTACTTTTTGACTCTCCATGTAAAACACATTAAAATTGCTCCTGCTAACAGGAAAGGGACCCAAAATGTTTGGACTGTGAGGGACCCAGGTGTCCAAGAGAGGAACACTACAGCAACAGTCCACAGTGGAGCTCTGTGCACCATCTTCCAAAGACTGAAATACCTTCCAGCAAGTGAGGCCTTTACCACAGACACAGTAAATAAAGAGATAAGCAAAAAGAAAAAAAAAAAATATGCTCCCAAGAAGATTATTGCTTTTACACAGCAATGCCAAACAAGCATCCAAAAATGAATGGGACAGAATAAGAAGCCCTGAGATTATAATTCATATTGTACATGTATTTAAGGACTGATTTAAATTTATGAACTCTTACTTGCAACATTTTCTAAGCTTTTGGATTTGACATTTCAAGGTGCTGCTGCTGCCATGCCACCCTGAAGCCCCCTGGCTTCACCTGCCTGGCAGGGGGAGGGTCAGCTGCGGGGGTCACTCCCCTGGATCTCGAGGAGAGTCGGGGAGCGGCTAAGGCAGAGCGCTGCGCTGTCTGCCTCATTTGGAGGAGAGGTGGTGTCCAAGGAGGTAATAAAGGGGCTGACTCAAGGCTGGGGAAACAGTTTTAGGTTTAATCCAGGCTCCGAGGAGAAGCTCTCAACTCCAGAGAATCCAACAGCCAAGAGCACTCTCCAGACTCTCTCAACATCTTAAATACTGGGGTGGTAACAAGGGGAAGGGGACGCCCATTAACCAATGGAGGGATTTGGGGGAGTGGAAGGTGGAGGGATAGACGGATACAAAACCAATAGGGGAAACTTAACGGAGGGACCCCTGGCCCTCACCCAATCACTCGATGCCTGGGGTAGAAGATTCTGGATGAGTGGGATGGAGAGCCAAGTGATGGACAATGTACCAGGGAGGGGACAGGGGAATGCCTAAGCAGTTTTAGGAAGATTGACATTGAGGGAAAACTCGGGGTAGAACCATTGGGAGAAAATGGGGGGTGAAGGGGTAAACTATTACAGAACAGTTACAGAAACATAAAAACAATACAACATGCAGTTTTTTTGTTGTTTGTATAAGTTAATAACAGTATGTCATTGTGTAACTAAATCTGCTTTCAAACTGTGCAAGGTAGCACAGGAGTGCAGGCAGAGATGCCCAACAAGTGGTCAGCTGCAGCTTTAGCTGCATGCCAGACATCCCTGGAACAGACTATGCAGCATACCAGAGAAGGTCTGGGCTTTGGCAAAGAGCTAGAAATCAAAGTCCTAATTTCCTAACTCTGTGATGACTGTGAGTCATAGCAAGTTTGGAAAAACTCTATTCCTGCCTCTCCATAAGCATAATAATGGAACTCGTTGGTGTTCAAAGTGTTAAAGATATGTTTAAGGAATTATATAAATAGTACTTATATAAAGGCTCCTAATCACTTCCAATCAGAATCATAATGTTTTCTTGTTTGGCCTCAAACACAATCCTTTAAATGTGTGTGTATACATATGTGTATGTATGAAGTACACAGTAAATAAGCTCTACTGTGGTTCAAAAAAGCCTCATCTGGGCAATGACTGTGAGCCAGACAAAACTGAAAAGAATGAAAATGGCCAGAGCTTTCCCTCCTCTCAAGCTGACAAATCTTATGCACTTGAAGAACAGCCTTTTCTTTTTCCTCATCTTTGAAGATCAGCGATCTATTTCATCTAACTCAAACAAAGGACTCTTAAAGGATGTTCTCTTAAATTTATTTTCTCAACCCTGGGGCATACAATTACTGCTGTTCACTCATGCTTTGCCTGTTTAGATATGTACATTTTGTCATTGTTACAGCATTCCCAAGACAGGCAGCATGTTCCCATGTTCCCGATTCAGGTTCTACCCACCACTGGCCGTGGAGTCATCAAGCCAAACTTTGTGTAGATGCTTACAGAAGCAAATGGTATCTTTACTAAGCTGATAACTGGCCACAGTGATGCCTCTTAGGTTCTGATCTGTGCTCAGTGAGATGGAAAAATGTAGTAGGAAACTGGGTAAGGACCCTGAATGCTGCCTTTGACATTGCAGCTAGTTCCCCCAGCGGCATTCCTCAGGGAGCACATGATCGGCATGTGTAAACCCCCGTGACTCAAAAGCTAAAACGCTTCACTAGCCCAGGCAAAAAAACGCTTCACTAGCCCAGGTTACAAGTGTAACTTCGGACAGGATTCAGAGAAGCACTCGGGTGTTCTTTGCTTTGGAAGCACTGTAGTTGATAAAGGAACAGGGCACACAACAGACACAGGATCTGGTGAAATTTGCCCATCCTAGCTGTGTATTCAACTCCCTTTGTCATTTTGGCAGCAACGCAGTTGTAACCTGTTAAAAGCCCACTGCTCTTTGGATGTGCTCTTTGCAGGATGAAAACATTACAATGAAACACATTTTAAATGCAGGAGTCCAGCTTGAGAGATCGGTGCAAAAATCCTTGTTAAAACAGTCACTCAATGTCGATTTTATTACATGATGTAGAAGTATGGTTATAACCAGTGATTCAATACACACTTCAGCACTTGAAGGAAAATACAGTGTGGGCTGGCTGCCTGTTTGCAAGTGTCCATCTTTTGCTGAATCTTCAGCTCTCTGGCCCAGTCCCAGAGCTGATTTCACACTAACGTGGCGAGAGCCTGGACGTTGTGGGAGCTTTCAGAGGGCCTGTGCACGGCGTGGTGGTTTCTGACACTTCTGTCTCTAGCGCTGCCCTTGGGGCTGTGCTGAGCCTTGGCTGCGTGGCTCCGGAAGGCCCGCACGGTGCGGACAGCAAGGATGCAGAGCACAAAGCTGGCAAAATACAGGCAGGAAGCGACGACCCCGAAGAGGCCGACGGCCGCGTCGCCGCCCTGGACGTCGCAGTTCATGGAGGTGTAGCCGCGGCGCGCGTAGAGCCGCTCGCGCCTCCTGCACACCTCGGTGGCGTTCACCTGCCTGACCAAGTGCAGGTACAGCCCCACGGCCGCCAGGTACGCCAGGCCAGCCAGCAGGCTGAAGGCACATTCGCCTACCAGGAGCCCTGTCCGGAGCTGCTGGATGGGCTTTGCCCCCACGACGAGGAAGACGAGGGTGAGCGTGGCCACTGTTAAGCTGAAGGCCACTCCGCTGTACACGCAAGGGGCTCTCATCTGGGTGAACTGCATGTCCAGCTCCCTCACCTCCTGCAGCTCCGTGCCCTCAAAGGGGCTGTAGGCTGAATTCAGGTTAAAGGATCCAAAGCCTCCAAGGGACGTGAAGCCTGCAACGGAGGCTTGGGAAGCGCCCACACAAATCAGCACCAGGAGGTTGACCATGATTTCCACAAACTTCAAAATGCCTGGAAGGAGCAGAAAGATGGGAATAGGTGTCAAAACCACATCTTGTGCAAACTGTGGGTGACAGAAATACACCAAAACCATAGATAGAGAGTACTAATACTGAGATACTCCTCTTGGCTACAGCTACAGAAAAACACTTGGAAAAAAAAAAAAAGAGAATCCTGAACTCTCGTGGGTACATTTTGGAGGCTGGGCAAATTACTTTTTTTAATTTGTCAGTGTGCTTGATAGATGGATCTTCATGCAGTGAAAAAAATCCATAAAAATTTTACAGTGCTTGTGTTACTGCCAAGGCAAGCGCACACTGATTATATTTTGGCCTGTAACTACTTGGCATAAACACACTGAGCAAGAAATATCCAGTATGAACAAAATGCTGAGGTTGAAGCTGACAAAAACCTAGAAGCTTCTAAGAGCTTGAAAAATTGTGCAAGTTATTTCGGTCCTCCAAAACACATTTACTACTTTAACTTGCAACTTTTTTTTTTTTTCTGTGAAGGTATTTGTTAATTTAAATTTACCATCTAACCAGATGCAACTTGCACTTTATTTCCTTCAGCAACAAAAATCCCTTGTAACTCTGAAGAAGGAGTTTCTGATTGCCAAAAAATAATAATAAAAAAAAAAACAACAAAAAAGGAGGGGAAGGATGCAAAACCCACCTTGTATGCAGAAATAAATTAAGTGAATTTGATACTAGGTCATATGCACTCTTTCACATCCTGACTTTCAGAAGACAGCCTTAAACTTCTGAGTTGACTCTTCACTTTTTGTTATGTTATGCTACTAGTAATAGTAACCAAGTATTTTTAAGGGAAACAGTACAAACAACACCCAGAACCGAAAAGGGGAGAAATTACTTTGTTTTTATGGTAGCTGCCTCTCAGGAAGCTGCCTTATGTTTGATAAATCTGATTATTCTGTGACAGCTCACTAGGGGTCAGACTAAGATTGGTAAACATGACGGATGTTTGCAGCATAGCACAGCTAGAGTTGCCTATTGGGGAAATGAAAACCCTTAGCGTGTCAGGCGTGTTGCTCCAGAGTTCTGAAGTTAATTACAGAATTGTAAATCTTATTATTCCATTGCTGTCTGACAGCCAAAAATGTAAGATGCTTGACACAGTGGTCCTATATTTGTCTTTAAACTGGGGCTGGATCTGTGATTTGCACATAGACTTTCATTTTATGCTGCTAGCACTGATCCACATGGCATTTCCCTCTTGAGCAATGGCTCAGTTGTTGTCAAGGCTGTATGGGCTTGAAAAGGAAGGGCTGAAGCAGGAACACAAGGGAATTAAACAAATTCCTCTCTTGTGCTGCCAGATGCTTCTAACCAAAGAAAGCTAGTGACAGACACAATGAAGGATTATCAGATATTCCCATTCTGCCCCTTCTTATTCTGTCTACAGAGGGCTAAGTTAGTGAGTCCTTTCCTGCTGCCACTTTCTCTGCATAGGAAGGTAGTGTTAGAGCAGACAAAATTGTTCCCCTTGTTCAAGAGGAACCAAGTGAGCAGTTCTATGTATGTGTTCTTCAGAAGCGATACTGATTTCTGCATGACAGCGTGCCTTTTCTTTGACCCTTCTGCACAACCATTTCTGTGAAGCAGGGCAATAACTGCGCTAGTTACCAAATCTCTTCAGGAGGCTTCAAATACTTCAAAGGAGGTATTTGTGGAGCTAAACGTAGAGAGAAATTTAATTTTTGGCCCTGGAGTTAGGATTTGGAACTTGTATCAAATTCAAATAATGCAGCCAAAAGACTCATCATTTTTAATAGGTAAAGAGTCATCACTTTACTAGGACTGTTATAGTATTTTGAAAGAATAGTAGCTGTGCAGAACATTAACTGGAACTCAATCAGGTGGGTTATTTTTTTGGCTGCTCAGTTGAGTTGTACACTATACATTGCAAATACTGGGAGTCAATGTAGATCCCCAGGGTCCTTAGACAGTGTGACAGTGTTGGATGCAGAAGGGCACTTCCCCTTTTAAAGGCTGACTGTTGATTTAATAGATGCTCAAGCAGGAAACAGTTCTTACAAGTCTACACGGAGGAAAGACCATTTGATTAAGGGAAACATAAATTTTAAGTATGTTTGGCTACTTGGTAGTTGGGAATTCATGATCAGTCAGCTGCTGACTTCAGAATTTCCTTTTCATCTGTGTGTACTGAGGCCCCCTGACCTTCCTAGCATCAACTTTTCCTCTATATCACCTTGCTGAGCTTTGGAAAAGGCAATTTTCTGTTCTCAAAGTAGTCACTGCCTGCTGCTAACCTCCCCACATTTATAACTGACCCCAATCCTCAATGATGCTGCTCCAAAACTTTCTATGTGCTCACACACATTCTGTATGCCACCTCTTAACTTTGCTGAGCTGACTGATAATGAGATGACAAATGTGATCAGTGTAGATCTACTGTACTTTTTTTAACCACAGCAGTAGATGCTTTAAAGGCATGCCTGAAAAATTTCCTTAGACAGGGCTTTCAGGTTGGACAGGTTTTTTGTATGTACCTGCACAGTTGTGACACATGCCTGTTGCAGAATTGATTAGAGTGACTAAACAATGGAGAGAGGTTCAGCAGCAGCTACTTCACCAATCACTTGTATCATTTGGATTAACTTGGATTTTTTAAAAGGAAGTGCAAGAACAAAGCCTTCTGCATTAAAGACAATTTTAAAATGATAAGCAGTATGTAGAATGAATTACAGGTTTATAATGACAGCCAGCTAGGTTTATGAACGTAGCAGACAATTAGGGGAAATGCCTAAGACCTGGCTTTGATGGAAATACTAAGCCTTGACATGTGTTCCAACCCAGGAACCCCAAAACCCTTTTGCAGCTTTAATCTGTGATAGTTACGAGCTGATACAAAATCCTACTACGATAAACAGGGTAGAGACAGATTTCAGAAGTAAGGAATAAAAGCATAGGTAAGTTTTGAATCTTAGCTCTGCCAAGTTATGGTCACACACATCCTAGCAGTGACCTGTGTCAAGCAGTGTGCTCCTGGTGGAAAGGATTGAGTTACAAGCCACGCTTCCGAATCTGTGCTGCCATTTCTGCTGTCACAGGCCAGTTAGCCATGTCACCTTGGAGTTATACCTGCAGAAACCAAAAGGTCCTCCTACAGGGAAGTTGCTTATCTCTACAGTAATTCCCTAATCCCATGCAACAATGAATGCATTGCAAGATTCTAAGTGTAAAATAACCAAAGGTCTAAACAGCTCAGAATTCTATTGGTTTAGTTATTTTATTCCTTTCTTAGGTTCAACATCTTTGGATTTACCTAAAATGTTACTCATTTGTATTAAAATCAGCACAGTCAACAGCTGGCTTTAGGAACTAACCCTCCCTTACTGAGTAAATTACAGGAGTCCTGTCAGGGCTCCTGCATTGCTATTTCATTTCCTGTGTTTCTTTCCTGCACTGCTTTTCAGCACTGAAGGTGAGGATAATGGCTGCAATCTAGAAGTGGGTGTTGCCAGAGATTTCCAGAGAATTATTTCATTTGTTCCATAAAATCTGAATCTACAGTGGATAGTAACTTCAATGTATCCTACTTGTTAGTTTTGCTTGAATGCAGTCGTCTTTTGCTGGGAGTACACTTCCTGTTATATACAATATTACAGCCTTCCAATTTACACTATTTATGTACTGTTCACTTTTTCTTTCCCTTTCTTTTCCTTGCTGGGATATTTCCATGGCACCAACTCACTGAACAATGGTTTTATCTTCTGTCAAATGGTAGGCTTGTCCATCCAGCAAAGCTGACAGGTAGGCTGGTTAAGGGTACACACACACAGGCAGCTGACTTTAACAGCTCCCACCCTTGGCTGGGCAGTCACTACTTTTCTCCCTTACCTCTAAGAGTTGTTCAAATAAATTAAAATACCAGGAAACTATTAAACTCTTTTGTGCTGCTGGTTTTGTTCTGCAACTTTAGCATCTTGAGGTGACTCATAGCAGATCTGATGAGCAATTATGTTGGCATCAATTTGGCAAGGGCAGTAACAGCCAGGACCAGAAAAGGACCAGAAACTCCTTCTCAGATGAGGCGAGCTGTTAAATCCACGTGCTCTGTCTCATAAGACCCACTGTGGCTGAATGTGTGGTACCCAGAAACTCAGCTGTGCACTCAAGTCTCGTGTCAGAAGCCCTAAAGAGGAATGTCCCCCCAGGCACTGTGGCAGGACAGCTCTGATGTTCAGGTGCAGGGGCCCTGGTGTGTGGATACATGTGTGCATAAAGCAGAATGGTCAATTCCTGTTTGTTCCTTTGTTTCTGCAGCTGCCATAAATGAATTTGCAGGACAGACAGTTCTGGCTCTTTCAACTGAACTCCCCTGATCCCATGAGGGCCATACTAATGGAAAAGGCTTTCATAGTGTCTCCGTCCACTGTATCTGGGACAGGAGTCACCTTCTTCCTCTGCTGAATGCACAAGGACTCCTCCTTCTGTCTCTTTTTGCATCAGTCCTTCCTCTTCAGTGAACACCACTGCATACTTCCAGAATATTCTATGCCTACCACTCTCCATTTTGGCTTGCCTTCTCCCTCTGCTTCCTTTGCAAACCACGTACCACTGGGACCAGCAGGACCCAGGGGCAACCCTGGGGGTATGTGGCTGCCACCCTTGGATACCTGGATCCCAGTGGCAGGGCTGGTGACACACAGGTCATGTGTGTCACCAGCCATGTCACATCCCATTAGGGGTCACTCCAGGAGAAGGGAAAAGAGAACTTAGAAGCTACAACACACAAGAAAAGTCTTTCTCAAAGCCTTTTTCACTGCAATTGTTTTTTGTTTCTTATCTCCCACCCCCATTTGGGTAGCTTTCTGCTTTTCAGAGGTAATCTTTCCTATATTTTTTTTTACCCATCGAAAAGGAGAAGACAAGTATTTTGAACATACATAGTGACTTATAAAAGCAGCAGTCAGTCCTGAAAAGGATCTCTAATGGAGAACATTTCTTGCCAGTGCAGGTTTGACA